AGCTGCTTTATGGAAAAGTGCATATTTATATTGAGATTTACTAAAACTTAGTTTAAATAATAAATTTCATGATAAACATAAACAGGTATATACATCTCAGTCTTGGTATATTTTGTTTAGCATATCTTTTATTGAACCAGTTTTAAGCCTCTAAAATTACTCCTTGTCTTGAAACCTTCATATTCAAGGTATTGAGAATTTCTCTGAATTATTTGGATTTCAGGGTTATTTAATTTGCCTCAAATTCAATTCCCAGAAATTCCCAAGAATTCCGCCCTTCTTAACTTAAAGGTGGTAATTGTATAGCTGAGAATTCCTAGGAATTCCTAAGAATTCCAAGTCCTCACAAAACTGGAACCTTCCTTTCCCAGAAATTCCCAGTAATCCCAAGCTTTTCAAATCAGAGCTAAGTTTGCAGAGTTGAAAATGTTTGAGAATTCCTAGGAATTCCAAGTCCTCACAAAACTGGAACCTTCCTTTCCCAGAAATTCCCAGTAATTCCAAGCTTTTCAAATCAGAGCTTGTTTGCATAGTTGAAAATGATTGAGAATTCCTAGGAATTCCTAGGAATTCCAAGTCCTCACAAAACTGGAACCTTCCTTTCCCAGAAATTCCCAGTAATTCCAAGCTTTTCATATCAGAGCTTATTTGCATAGTTGGGAATTTTTGAGAATTCCTAGGAATTCCCAGAAAATGGGAATTCAGTTCGCAAGGGTTAAACGGCCTCAGTGGAGTACTGGCATTGGCACCATCTGCAAAATCAACTTGTCATCATATATCAAATTCCGCTAGGGGATTATCTCTGGATTTTCTCTCTCGCGTTCATTTCCAACTGTCGTAATGGTAAGTAGTCTGAGTCTCAAATGATGACTCACTTTTCAGGAATGTGTAAAATCAGAAAACAATGTGTATCCATCTTAAGGATGAACAATTTTTCTCCGCGCTGAGGCCATCCGTCGGTTAATCGCGTGGACACGGACTCATCCGCGCAAAAATGAGCCTTTGAGTCACCGATATCGTTTAAAACGCGTGACCAGATATAAAAGTGTGAGCTAAAATTGCAAAAACCGGAAATAATGCTTGCTAAATTGATGAACTAATATCTGGTAAATTAGTTTGGTGACCTACCCTGATTTTTTGTGTACAAATTAATTTTATCATTACGCGTTTCTGAAGAAAATTTTAAAAAAATTTATCTGGTGGAAATTCTCTTACATTTTAAAACAACATTTTCCTAAATACTTTTGGCTAGATGTCCTTTGATCGTCACCTAAATGTCAGTCTAAAATGGGCTAAATGACCAGCAAGAAAGCCCTTGTCAAATGCTTCAGTGCAAGGGTTTCTTTGCCTGCAGGAAAATAAAGACTTGAGCAACCCAAGATGGCGATCGGTCTGCAAGGGGGTTAAGCACCAATACTGAGAGCCCTGGCAAACCTCTCCCTGACTTGTCTTAAATCTTCCCATCGGCAGAAAATTACCACAGGGCCGTATTTACTCAACGTTACGTCTTTACAAATACTCTTGATAGACAATTAACTACAAGACATACTTGAATCGCGTGCATATACATTCGAGAAGATCTTTTGCAAGATTTCTCCCAGCTGCCACATGTTAATACTTTGACATCTTTTCCTCCCACTTGCATACTGTGTGATAACGAAAAGGATTACAAAACAGAAAGAAACAGTAATTATAAATTGAATTAATTTTAGAAAAAAGTTACACCGGGTGAAGACTCAAATTTGTCATCACACTTGTCAAACAAGTTGTGTGCTCACCTGACATTGGATACTAGTGAATCAAGAAATAGCAAGTACTCAGAATCTTTGGAGAAACTTCCTTTCACATTTTTGAAGCTAGGCTGTTATGTGACAAACAAGACACGAAAAATGTGGTCAAACTCTCTCCATCTGACATGTGTTAATAATAAAGGCACTACAGAAAATTCCTTCATTACATACCTTAGAGGTGTTCTGTCTGGAGAGAACCAGATGAGAATCTTTTCCTATCTTTGTTGACTT